GGACACGCGTGACCTACTTCTTAAGCCGCCATTTTGGGGCTTTTCGAGTCGCGTGTTTTAAGCAAACTCGTACGAACAGTCAGTTTTATACGACATTATTAATTCAACTAAAATTGCGTAAATCCAGTGATTTCCAGTCAAAAATATAATAATAATTTAGGACGATTACGCGACCCCAATTTTACGTAACGTTTTCATCAGTTTAAAAGAAACAATCATCCGTATCATTCGCCGTGGCGATTGAAATTAATTAAATAGGTGTTAAAACTGACGCAATTAAGTATATAGGCACTTCGTAAAGCGATTGAATAACATAAAAAAATTAAAGTATAATAATAAACGTCGTCAACGTAATGCTCATTTTATAATAAGTAATAGATGCATAGATATATTTTTAATTTATAAATAGCTTTCAAAAAATTCTAAAAATAAAATTTTAAATTAAATTATTCGACAATAAATTGACAAATAATACTCAAATAGAATACAACGTATTCGAACAAAATACGAATACCAGTCGACCTCCCCTATAACACTGTTGATAATTCCGTTTTATATGAATTCCATGTTGTATGAGTCACTTAGATTTTACAAATACAGTCGACCCCCCTATAAGATCATAGATACGTTCCATTCTTTAGGAATCTGATTTCTTACGAGTCCTTCCAATCACAGCCCGACACGTGTGAAGTTTACGGACTACGGCTGATTGAAAGGTTTTCTTCCATAAAATTAATCGATTCTAGACTAATCCGACTCAACATTTCTAAAATACGTATATATTTTTTGGAAATAATCCGTATAAATAACGTAACCAACACCTTATTGCTTGCTGAGGGAGTTTTATTAAAAACGAACGTTTTCGATCCACTTAACGGATCATCATCAGGCTCGAATATACGAAAATGGAATACATCATAAATGGAACAATAAGTTCAAAAATTCAATAAACTGATAACATATAAATTAATAAGAATAAAAAATAAATTGTAAACGATACCAAATAATAAATAATATACTACCACGACTAAGCATTAATACTAAGTTTCCTTTAAATCAAATAAATATCATATTTCAGTTGATGCCCTACTTGTAAGCTTTTTAACGGCAAATTTCCAAGCCGAGGGAAGACCTTCCGCATCCCTAGAATTAATGCATCCGATTAGGGAAGACCTTCCGATTTCTAGCATTAATAGCATTAACGCACTCGACGCACTTAACGGATCGAAAACGAACGTTTTCGATCCGTTAAGTGCATCGAAAACGTTCGTTTTTAATAAAACACCCTCAGCAAGCAATAAGGTGTTGGTTACGTTATTTGTTTACTTTTGCTGGGTACGATTGTATTCAATAATCCGTATAAACTACGCTATAAACAAAAAATTGTAGGATTACTTACCGAGTGTGCACCATTCGACATCGCCATTGCTAAAGCTTGTTTTCGTCGCGGAACAGCTCAGCAAACAGCGGCCGATTTCTAACAACTTATTTTTCTGCAAAAATTCGCTGAACTTTGGAGACATCATTAATATAAATAATTTTTATCGCTGTTGAATAAGAAATGTTTCTTTCACAAGAAATGTATAAAATTACAGTACTGTATTAGACTTACGGTACCTAATTTACATACTGTACAGACGATA